GTTCTGCGTTCATAGCCTCAGCTTTCTATCCCGGTGAAGACTAGTCGTCTGCCGGGTAGTTGGACTGAGAGGGCTTGGTCAGCTTAAGAGATTCCAAGCTACTGTCGGATCTTCCGCAGTTTAATCAACAGTTAATCGACCCAAGGTAATTATAACTGTGACCTAACTAAAGAGCTAGGGGGACTCATTCCCGAGTGACTCTTCCCTTGCTTTAGAAAACCGAACCATTTCCTGCTTTCTTACTACTTTTAGTTAAAAATCACAATCACTCGACTTAGTTTGCTAGATAACAGATATTCACGGAGTAGGCAGTAGATCTAGAGCCCGGGTTGACTATCAGAGCTTGCCTGTTACTTCATTTCCGGACTGCGATTGCACTTGGTCGCAGCTTGTCGCAGTTTGGTGTTGTGTTTCAGGACGAATAGAGGCAAGAAATGAAGAAAACAGAGGGAACACTACCAGGGACACGACTTTGTTCCCAGATCGTGTTCAACCCCTTCAGCTTGGACACGACATCGCTTCAAGCGCTAGAAGATTCTCGCCATTCAACGAACACGGCCAGAACACGCACGTGTTCAGAGACCGTATCCGCAGATGAGTCCAAAGGCTTTTACCATATCATTGGCATTGAAGATTATCACGGTCACTCTGACAATGATAGTCAATGAAGAGGCCGTGAAGTCGGGCAAAAACGGAGCGTTTCGTCGAGTTTTGAAGATCACGGCCTAAACACGCCCATGTTCACTGGCCATGTTATGGTTTTTTCTTGCAAATAGCAAAACGCAGTGCACTTGGGATTAAACACGGCAGAGGACACGACCGTGTTCGTGGCCGTGTTCGAGCTGATTTTTGAAGACTATAAAGTCTGCAACAGAAGGAAGAAAAGGGGAGCTTTTTCTAGGGTTTTAGTTTTTGAAATAAAGGAGGGTTTCTAGTGAGAGATTAGGTTTTACTCTTCCTATTCTAGAGAGAGAAAGTGTCATTCAAAGGGAAGGAGATTGGGCTTGCCCTAAGCTAGAGGAGTGAAGATTCTTACCTCTCAAGGGAGATTCAAGCAAGGAGGATGGAAGTTTGTCATCTCTCCATGATTCTTTCTCTCCTTTTCCTTATTTTCCTTTGCCTAGCTATGGAATAGCCTACCTATTCATTTGGGTGTTTGTAAACCCTAGCTACAATTATGTGAATGTTTGTATGGATTGAATGATTTGTGTGTGGTTGTGTTTAATGTGAATGTGGAGGTATTATTCATGAATGATTGTGTTGTGTGAAAGTCTATCAATCTAATTGTCATTCTAACCTAGGTAGAGAGAACCCCCTCCCCCCCTCCTTTCTTTGAAAGAGCCTTGAATGTGGGGTTTTCTTAGGCAATTCGTTGTCTCGTATCTAGGTTAATGCAGGGCAAATCACTTATTTTGTATTAGCACCTAGAGTTTGGTTGTGGGTGGCCGTCCGAACTCCGATTCGAGGGTGAAGTCTAACCAACCCTTAGTCAATAGGTCTAGAGAGTCACGTTGGCTTGGACCAAATTTCCTTCCCTCAACCTAGAGACCGAGAGAGTGGCGCTTGGCTACTTGTTGCACTTCCCTACGGTTTACAACCCCCTCACCACACACGATCATTCGATCCAATAAGTCGTAATTCTTAGCTAGGGGGAGAAATACCCGGGTGAACTCTTCTCTCATTAGGACAACCTCGATTTACTTTACTTGCTTGTTTTCATTTGTAGGTTACTTAGTTTTAAACCCAAAAACGTTTGCTAGATAACAAACTAAGCGATTGAATTAGGGGTACATGGATCGGCCCAAGTTTGACAATTAAAACATACTTGCCCTATATTGCACCCGACTAGAGTTTATGCTTGAGCTCTGGTTGGGATTTCATTCGCGGTGTATCTGTGGCGAGTCACCAATCAACCAAAGATTACAAGAACCAATCCCTCGAAAATTAATTCGGATGGCGAATAGCGACCAATCATGATGGAATCATGGCACTAATACGATATTTGAGGTTTTCCCTCATTTGCCAAGAATCCAGATTATCAAATCCTCTTACAACAAGAGGATTCTCTCCACCTAGGTCAAAATGACCCAATAATGAGTTAAAGCTAGCAACACTCAATCATTCATGAATAATACCTCAAATATTATATAAAACATTCAATCAACACACATAGAGTCATGTTCTTACATCCACACCACCGTTCATGACTCGGTTAAATAAGGCAGGAGGCATCCGATATCGCTTTGTTAGGCCTTAGCATCGTAAGTTGGATTTGGGTTGAAGTAATCTTGTATGAAATGCTTGTGACCGTTTTCCTTGTTACGTCTTACTGCTTTTCGTGTTGATGAACTGCCACGAGATGTCTTTGCTTGATGTTGGTGAGGATGGTTTGCGTACATCATGAACATCTCTATGTGCTCATGCTCAAGTTGACACTCATACTCCCATTGCCTATCATCAGCTTCTCTTTGCCTCTCATCAACTTCTCTTTCCCTTTCATAAGATTCTCTATCAGGGGAATCCGTGAAGGCGAAATAGTTTTGGGTGGCTGGAGAGAAGAATGAAGGATCAATGGTTTTTTTAAGAAAGAAGGTTGAATGATGGATGAGTTCGAAGACCAAGTTTGAGGGTTTATTTATAGAAACCCGGAATGGTTCATTTTTTACCAATGTTCAAGTTGAATGAACTTTTGATGACACAACTTAGTCTGACTAAAGTTGATTGAACAGTAGTTGTCACAATTAAGTATAATTAAGGATGAATGAATAGTTAATGCACACTTCATTATGATTAAAACTTCTGAATAGTTGATGTCACAACTCAATATGACAAGCATGTGATGAATCTATGGCTATCTGAACTAATAATGGTGTTTTCATCATTAATTACGGCATACTTACATACAGGGGCGGAGCTATGTAGGCTCTCAGCCCCTCCCCCCCCCCCCCCCCAAGAATTTTGAAACTTACTTATAAAGTCCTATGAAATTTCGAAAATTACGTATAAATTCAATCTAACAGGTATATAGAATCCGAGTGAAATATTCTTAACAACATAGATTTTCAGTCTAGCGGAGAAGCTACGCAGCTGTAGCAACAAGGTTCAGGGTTTGACCCTTGTTCCTAGCATTGCTTTTATAATTTTAACAGTTTTTTTTCCAGTTTAATCCTCTAATTTTTCTATTTTGTCTTATAAATCCTGTAATTTCAAATAAATTCAGTCAAGTTCTTAAAATTTTACACTTTTACATTCATATTTTCAAAGATTTTTTTTGGATATGTAATTAATTAATTTTTAAAAACAATAATATAATCATAAATTCATATTCAAGGTATAAAACAATTACATGTTAAAATGCATGATACTTTTTTCTCACAGTATAAACATTTATTTTGAGTATAACATACTAGAGAACTTTAAATTATTTATATTTTGAGTTTTTTTATTTTAATTAATGTGTGTCGTTATTATTTATTTTTATCTTTGGATTTTCACGATAATTTACTAAATAAATCTCCCCCCCCCCCCCCCCCCCCGAACTTTCAATCCTGGCTCCGCCCCGGCTTACATATGAGTTTTTTTTAAATAAAATAAATTATCAAAATGTTTTAATTAATTATTAGTACTTACAGAAAATTTTTGTAGAATGATGAAATCTACTCTAAACTAGATTATGAGTGAAAGTGGAATTTTGGATTTTTGAAACTCTCCACATAACACTTTTGGAGGGGAACTTAAACTTTTGTGGAATTGTAAATTTATAACTTCCGAGTAATTCTAACTTTTTTTATTCTCCGTTTTTTTTTCTCAAAGGGAGAGAGCTGGGATGTGGGAACTGGTCGGACAAAGTCGGATAGGATATGGTCCTCCCACCTACTGTTGGGAGGATGTCCTCCCACTAGAGAATATGATATTTGTGTATGTTGGGTCTAGTATTAACCTGCCTAATATGGGCCCAAGCCCACCACAAAGCGTCTCACCTTGGGCCCAAGCCCATTCTAGGGTCCAGTACACCGGGAGGCGTCCATTCACCGGAAGGCGTCCATCGACGGGAGGCGTCCATAGGATGCCTCCGACTCCTATATAAGGAGGCCAGACCCTCCAAGCAAAGGGACTTCTCTCCCTTCCCTCACTTTACCACTTATGGTTCTCTCTCTAAACCCTATCTCTCTCTACATTCTCTACACTCTATCATATATCCTATTCTAACTTGACCGTCGGAGTGTAGATCACGGGGGCCGCCCCCGACTCTCCACAGGATTCTTCCACTCTCGAGGAGATCAGACGAGGGAGTCCGGATCAAGGTTCCACACTAATCCCCCGGTACTAATCCGGGTTAAACATTTTGGCGCCCACCGTGGGGTCTGATTTGGTACTCTTCTTGTTTGGTATCTGAAGGAGGAGAAGAAATCGATTTTTTCTCTACTAATTACCACTGACGGCTCCGACCGCAAAATCCCATCAGAGGATTGAAAGAAATCTGTCTCACTTCACCAACTACATGCGAGGGTCGCGCCTAGAAGATTCTGGCCAGATATGCCAATCTTCAAAGCAACAAAAAATAAAAATTCAGACTCCGGTCACCGGAGTTACCAGCACCGCCGGCGCTCCAACTGAAAAAGGAGAGGCTTATTGCCGTCAACATCACATTGCCTCTTCCAATGTCTTTTTCAAAAAGACAGACCTGCAAAAGCAAGTTGTGGTCACTGTCACTCCCTCTCACAAAAGAAAAAGTCATTTTGAGTTCCCAATAAAGTTATATTGGCCCACTAAACCACCTTAACTGGCCTTCCATGTAGTCAGACTCCTCCCACCAGCAACACGAATTGGGCCGCCTCCCATCCTTCCGTTTCAGTCCAACTTTCCAACCCTGAGCTTTCTGACCCGCTTCCCAAGGAAACGCCTCCAACATTCAGATCCACCTTGCAATCAAATTACGTGGCCCGCCCCGAGTCCCAGAGCGAGCCCGTCACAAGGCCCCGCTTCAAGTAAAGCCGCCTTCAACCATATTCGCTTTCTGCACCATAACCTTCGTTCAAACCCAAAGCCGCCCCGCGAACAAAGTCCAGTCTCCCCTCGCCAATCAGAGCCCAGAGCGGGGCCTTCCAATCGAACCGCTTCGCTTCCAACTCAAGGCCCACGAAGACCTTTGCAACGCGGCCCGCTTCGCCTCCAACATCCAGCCCGCACTTCGTCCAGTGTTTCATGAGAACCCGCCTCCAACTCGCGGCCCACATAACCGCCACCGAAGCCCAATAGCCCGAAACGCGCGGCCCGTAATGCGGTCCGCACCGACACACCAAGCACACATCCAGACTAGGGATGGCAACAAAACCCGAACCCACGGGTACCCACCCGACCCAACCCGGTCAATGCGGGTAAAACCGTGTTGACGGGTTTTGGGCAGGGTTCGGGTTTAAACCCGCTACACTATTCATCGGGTTGGTTGGGTTTGGGTTTAGGTAAACCCGCCCCACAGGTACCCGCCCACACATATAATTACTTTCCCGGTATATTTAATATTCTAAGTAATATATCTTTCTTAAACAACTAATTTTCTTTATGTTTGTGGAAACATGTATAATTTGTTCTTTCTAATTGTTTAGAATGAAGTTGATATTATAGAGTGGAGAGTGAAGAAATTTATTTGACGAGGAAGAAGCTTTTAATTAATCTTGTTGTTTATAGATGTTTATCTTTAATTTTAAACAATTTGTATTGATCATTTCCGGTTTGTTTGTATGTTCTAGATTAGTGTTTTTTTGTATGAATAATAGTGTATGAGAAAATGATGTTAAACTTTTATTTTCAAAGAAATTTTTTACTGTAAATTTTTTACCACAAAAACCCAAGGGTACCCATGAACCCGCGGGTACCCAGCGGGTTGGGTTGGGTTTGAGTTTTTCAAACCCAACGAGTTTTACCCCGAGTTTTTTTTTACGGATAAACCCATGGGTTTGGGTTTGACAAAACCCGCCCCAACCCAACCCATTACCATCCATAATCCAGACCTGGCCGCGTCTCCAATACACCCATTATGTATGCCGGCTTCCGACCTAGCCCATTATTCCAAGTCCCGCTGCGTATTACATCGAGATCCACGCGTCCGGCCCACCAACCTTCATTCAAAGCGGTCAACCTCCCGACCCATATCTGATGCACAACTTACCTTCAAGGCGGACCGCCTTGACGAACTGAAGCCCACGTCTCCAACTTTCACGGCCCAAGCGTCAGAGGCCCACGCCTCCACTCTCCGTCAACGTCCACTTTCGATAGCAGACAGGAAGCCGCTCACTAAAAATGAAAGTTCGATGCACGGTTTGAACCCCCGTCCAAAGTTTGGAAAGATGATGCGCATATACCACTGCACTACAAGCATCTTTGTGAATCAATACACGATTCTCACTACTTCAACTATTTCTCTACTGCGTCTCCTATAGCTAAGTGCTCTCTTTCAAGATATATCTTAGATCATATGCTTATTACGAATCATGCTAGACAAAATATATCTCATATGCCATGTCATGCCATGAAGATAATCATTTTCACTATGCTATGACATATTTCATGCATGCTATGCTTATGTTTGTACTCTAAAAATATGGGGCACTAGTCACTCACATCTTCCGCAGATATAAAACCGCATCCCGTTTCCTGGCAATGCTTCCCCTCTACATAGAAGCCCGAAACCGCCTCCCAGTAGGCGCGACATCGGTATAGCTAACACGATCCCGCCTCCCAGCAAGTGTGACATCTTCAAAACACAAACGTCGCCTTGAGTTAAAACTCTCAAGTCGTGGGGGCCGCCCTCCCTAGCACATAGTTAACGCCTAATATTCAGCCAACAACTCACGCTTAACATGCACACAAGCTCATGCCCATCTCGCGGTCCAACAGCTTAACGCATACAGCTCACAGTTACGGCCTACATATTAGCACGCTCCGCAATGGGCTAGTGGGGAAATCTCAAACGACTTGAGAGCTCTAACTCAAGACATCGAATGCTAAACAAAGAAGCAAAGACGATGGTCGCACCAGGGGCAAACCGCATCGTTTGGACCCGCAAAGGTCCAGTCCACTCGTGGGCGTCCATCACCGGGAGGCATCCTATCACCCGGAGGCGTCCATCACCGAGAGGCGTCTCATCCACCGAGAGGCGTCCATCACCAGGGGCATCCATCACCAAGCAATGGTCGCACAAGGGGCAAAACCACATCGTGCGGACTCACAAGTAAGGCGAGTTAATACACCTTAACGCATTATTTTACTCCTTCCATTCTTACAGAATACAAGAAGCAAAGGGGCAAATGTTGGGTCTAGTATTAACCCGCCTAATACGGGCCCAAGCCCACCACAAAGCGTCTCACCTTGGGCCCAAGCCCATTCTAGGGTCCAGTACACCGGGAGGCGTCCACCACCGGAAGGCGTCCATTCACCGGAAGGCGTCCATCGACGGGAGGCGTCCATGACAATGGGAGGCGTCCATAGGATGCCTCCGACTCCTATATAAGGAGGCCAGACCCTCCAAGCAAAGGGACTTCTCTCCCTTCCCTCACTTTACCACTTATGGTTCTCTCTCTAAACCCTATCTCTCTCTACATTCTCTACACTCTATCATATATCCTATTCTAACTTGACCGTCGGAGTGTAGATCACGGGGGCCGCCCCCGACTCTCCACAGGATTCTTCCATTCCCGAGGAGATCAGACGAGGGAGTCCGGATCAAGGTTCCACACTAATCCCCCGGTACTAATCCGGGTTAAATAGTGTATGATAATATAGTATACGATTTACAAGAATACATATTCGTCAAACAAGAAAAATGTATTCTTATAATAGATAGTAGTATGAAATCAAGCCTTCCAGAATATCATCTTCTCATAACATAAATATCATCAAGCCTTTAAGAATATCATATTCTCATAACATAAATATCATATTCTTGAAAGCTTGATTTCATACTACTATCTATTATAAGAATACATTTTTCTTGTTGGACGAATATGTATTCCTGTAGATCGTATACTATATTATCATTATACAAATATCATATTCTCCACTGGTAGGATGTCTTCCCAATAGTAGGTGGGAGGACCTTATTTTTTGAAACAAAGCCAACCTTCTTTAGATCCTGCTATGTGGCGTGGACTTTATTATTATTTTATAATAAGGAAAAAGTTTATTTTGTTTGTTTGGACTTTGTTGATTCCGTAAAAGAACCAAAAATAAATGTATAAAAATATAAAGCCATAATGAAATTAACATTATAAAGTCATAATGAAATTAATATTATTATTGGTTTCTGTTAAATAAAATAGTTCTTCTGTCTGCTCTCTTTTTCTGCCCCTTTCTTTCAAAACCCTAATCCCGTCGATTCAGTCTGGGCCTCGAAACATCTATCCCGTCTTTCGTCTCTCTTCTTCCCCATTTTCCCTCCCTGCTAACCTCTTTTTGTCCAAAATCAATCCGTCTGCTCTCACCTGCCATCTCTCGCGCGCTTCGATTGCCCTTCTCCGATCGCTTTCGCCGCCGCCGCCGCCGCCGTGGTTGCAACATCGATCACTCCGTCTCGTCCTCTCTCCCCTCCAATCTTTCTTCCAGGTTGGCATCCCTCCTTTCTCTCTCCTGTATCTTTCTACCGTGATTTTGAATTCCGTATTCATTCTGGGTGAATTCCTCGACGAGCTGGCACAATTGCAATTCGATTGTTTCAGTCGGCTCGGGACTCGGAGTTGGGGGATGAATCCGTGGCGTGTAGTTTTAGTAGGGATCTCCTTGGTTGTCAATCGTCGCTGATGTTGAGAATGGCGTGATTCTATTTTGTTAATCCCTAATTCCGCCCAATTACTGATCAATTGTGATGGAAAATCCCATCCCCCGCCGGTGCTTTGGCTTTGATCTTTTTCTGTCTTCAATTTTGTTGTAATCAATCCCCACGTCTTGTGCTACGGGATCAGCTGTCAAACTGGATTATGGACTCTCTTGGCTGTTCGTAGGGGTGGATGGAGAATCTTGATTTCACTATTCCGGCAATAACTTCTGATGAGTTCTGATAAGGGTGGATGAGTCTGAATAGTAGTAGTCTACACTGTACTATGAGGAAGTGAAACGGAGTTTGTAAACGTTTGGACTTGAGTTTGCTGGCCTGGTTGCGCGGTTAATAATTGTTCTTTCCAACCCCTAGCTGTTGTGCTTCATTTCTTAGTTGGAATGCAAAATGTAGCACTTTCTTCCTTCTCATTGGTGATGTTGGCCCTAAGTTTGGAGTGGGTTCGATGTTTTGATCGCCCCATCACCACTATGCAATCCCTTGGAGTTGTTTATTCTTGAGATATTCTGTGGGTTTGTAGAATACTTTTGGTCTAATAGGGTTGATCAGCAATGGCTTTGTGGTGGATATATTCAAGCCGAAATGGAGAAGTGCACCTCTTGGATATGATATGATATGATATGATATGATATGATATGATATGATATGATATGATATGATGCTTGCTTTCATGCGATCTATCTTATGAGAGTTTATTCTATGAGGAGGGAGCATCTGGTCAAAGCTTGGAATTGTTACCTTAATTGCGGAAGATGTTTGAGTAGCAATCCTCCTGTTACTTGCATAAGATGTGGTCTTATTAATGGCTGTGTTGGGATTGTTATCTCATGTGGTTCTTCTAGCTTTCGATGAAATTCCCACAATGGTTCGAATAGATACTTGCTGGCTATATCTTTTGACACAGAAATTAAGAAAACTGATTGAAGACAGCTGACAGTTGTTTCTATGGCTTGAAATTCCCACATTGGTTCGAAAGATGCAACGTTATTGTTGTTGGATTTCTTTGAGACGTCTGAAACAGGGTAAATGCAAGAGTGTGGGGCCTGCAATTCCTTCTTGTGTGGGCTACATCCGCTACAAGTATAAGAGTGACAAAACCATAACGGAATGAACTTGCCCACATGGATATAGGAAGAAAGATAGTTGTCTGACCGGTTTTGAACTCTATAAAGAATCCCATTCTCTGTGGGGGAATAATTGTGCGTTAGCTATTGTCCTACCACAGCTGCTTGTCTTTGATTTTGTTCCGACTTATACGTGCAGACAACAAACTGTTGTTTTGCACCTTTTCTCAAGTTACTGCCATTATGGACTCTGTCTATATTAAGATTCGTCCTTTTGTTTGTTACTCAAATAATGAGCATACTTCCTAGTGTGAGTCTGACCAGAAAATGTTGTCTTGTTGTCTTAAAAACTTACAGGAGCCAGTCTCTACTTCGAGGTAGTGATGTCTCCGGCATCAAGAGCCAAGAACAAGGACAAGAAGTCTGGCAAAGAACCACAGAAGGCATTATCAAAGCCTCCATCAGGCACTGTTAATGGAGGTAGCAGTAGTAGCATCCCAGCCAGTGCATACAATCCACTGTCTGGAACATTCCATACCCTTGAAACAGTGCCAACATCTGCCGCCTCTCCCATACACAACAATGGCAGATTCCGCAACATAGATGAGACAGATGATCAGTTTGGTGGAGCTGGTGGTGTGGAATATGATTCTGTCTCAAACAATGGAAGCTGGTCTGGTGATTCAGAAGATCACCACAAGGAGAAGACCTCCAACACGCCAGCACGCCAGGAAGCAACAATTCCGGGTGTTGCTGACAATGACAAGAGAGAGAAAATCCGTCAGAAGAATGAGAGGAAGCATCAGCGCCAGAAGGAAAGGCGAGCACAGGAATTGCATGAGCGGTGCAGCGGCTATCTGATGTCAAGGAAGCTCGAAGCACTTGCTCAGCAGCTCGTTGCCATGGGATTCTCACACGAAAGAGCTACCATGGCTCTAATACTTAATGAAGGTAAAGTAGAGGAATCTGTGTCGTGGCTGTTTGAAAGTGGTGAAGATACAGATGATAAACACAGAGATCAGAATCTCGGTGGCGGTGGGAATCTGAAAATTGATATATCGGATGAGCTTGCTCGGATTGCTGATTTAGAAGTGAGATACAAGTGCACAAAGCAAGAGGTTGAAAGGGCAGTAGTTGGTTCTGAAGGTGACCTTGATAAAGCTGCAGAGAGTTTGAGGAGGATGAAGCTTGATCCTCCTCCTGCACCTCCAAAGCCTGAAGAAACTGGTGATCCCCCAACAATGGTTAACGGTGGGAAGGGGGTTCCAGTATCTGTCAGTCATCAGAATGTTATGAGACCTCAAGTAAGACCAAATCATAGTCAACCTTCTGTGGCTATACAACAGAGACGAGATGATAATAGAGACTTCAACTACATGAAAGCTGCTGTTCCTCCTGCCTTGGCAGGAGGAGGATCTCCTGAACCTGGGATGGTGAAGAACTTACAGCAGCCTTTGAACAGAATACAACCGACAAAGTTGGTCTCTGGTGTGATGGTATTAGAGAAAAGGTGGACTGGTGTGCCAACATCTAATAATATTCCATCTGTTTCTTACTCTCTGTCGTCTCCTTTGCAAGTTTCACCACAACCACCCAAGGCAGATACCAGCAGGTATGCATCATCATCATCTGTTGGGAGTGAATATAATAACAAGAACTTTCTCCCTGGTGGAACTACTGTTAGAGAACCTGTAATCATGATGCAGCGACCCCAAACTACTGTAAATACGAAACAACTTCCAGCAGTTACAAGCATGAGCTCATCGCCTCCACCTGGGTCTGCTGGCCTCAGTTGGTACCCTCCAAACGGCATTGATATGATGAAGCCCGGCAACGGATTTGTTCCCCAGATTCCAAGCAGCCTAAGCCCAAACCACCTAACTTCTTCTAGTCAGATGTTCCACAACCATCATCTTCCGTATCAGCAGCAGCAGCAGCATTTTATTCCTGGAAGCAGTCCCCTAGAGACAAGCAGAGGAGGGAATGGGTTATGGAGTAACAGACCAGGGTCAGCGTCAACCCTTGCTGCTGCTTCTAACCTTGGCCTCTTCTCTGGCTTCGGCTCGACTGTTTCGTCGGGGGCCTCCTCACCGGTGGATTGGACCACTGCAAGCTCAATGGCACAGTTAGACTACACGAACATAGACTGGAGTTTGGATCGGAGTTTGTCTTCTCCAAGGCCTAATGCTACATTCTGTCTAGGGCAAGGGTCGATAAAGAATGGTGCCACCCAGGGTTATGACCCTACAGGGTCAGGGTTGGGTGCAAAGCTTGCGATGAGAGCAGCTCCAAGTATGAATGGTGTAGGTGGCTTTGCAGGGCTGCAGGATGGTGGCGGGGTGGCTAACCCGGAAACGTCGGCTGGCGGTTCGCATGAGTGGACGTCTCCATTTGAGGGGAAAGATCTGTTTAGCTTACCCAGACAGTTTGTTTCTTCTCCTTCACTGTAGTAGGGTGGTTTGGGGGAGGCCTTGAATAAAAATGAAAAAGGAAAAAAAAAGAGGAGGAAAGAAGGACAAGAAAAATGTGTTTGAATTTTATGGTTGCTGTTGGGTTGTCTGCTTTTCTGTCGATTTGTTGAATATCCTTAGTGAAGATAAGTGGCATCTCAACGAGTTATATTTTCTTGAATTCTGCCGTTCCCTTTGGATTTACAGTTCCTGAGAGGTTAGAGAGGAAGCATGTTGTGTGATTGATGAACTTTGAATCAGTAAGGTTACGAGTCGAAAGCGAGTACCCTCGTGAACCCGCACCATCTTCCAAACTAGCAGGGAGGGTCAATGCAAAATTTCCATGGTTCACTGAGCAGAAATGGTTTCAACTCTCAATTGAGCTTAAAGACCTTAGTAAATTAATACAGTAATCGTCATATCAATGGTATAGGTTGGTACTGATTCACCATCAGGGAAGTGTTTACCCAATGGTTTCAATGTTGTCCTCTCCATCGAGGAGGGTTGCCATCCTCGGTTTTCGTTCAGCCATAACCCGGATCTGCTGATATGGATTCCATCCAGGTGGGTCTGTGTAGTCTTTGAATGCAGAAGAGAACACTCTCATGGTTATTGCACTTCAATTACAACGCTAAGCAGCTTCTACTAAAAAAGAAACTATTACATCACTTTTCCCATCTGCGCAACAAGATCCCAAAGCTCTCCAAGATGCTTGGTTTTCGATCCGAACAGTTGCCGTTTAAGTCTTGTACCACCAATCCACCATTTCACTATTATTTCTAAACATCACCCTCAGGCCTCAGGTGCGGGAAAAATTATAGCACACCCTCTAGAACGAAAACAACAAGACCAACCACCGATTGACACAAAGATGGCTTCTTTTATCTACAAACTTGATTCTCGAGCGGTAGATCGAGAGAACTCCGAGGGGAAGATGGTGGAAGTGATGGAAGCGGGTTCCTTGTACCACTGATTCGGTTCTCATGTCACGAATTTTGCCTCTGTAAAAGATAGGAAGTGTATTCCAAAGTTCAGTGATCAAGGTAAGAGGTAAAGGCTTGGTTACTGGTGCAAATCATAAAACATGTTTTTCCAAATATTTACTGTCACCATTTTACATCTTTTACCTGTCAAGAAAACGTCCTGATATTCTTCATCATCGTACACAAATTGCGGAGGATCTGGTGAACCAATGCCGACAATGGTGCTACCACTGGAAAACTCACACACATTGGCAAAGTGCACAGAATCATTTCATATGGTGTGTGGTTATCAACTTTACAGAAACCGAACCACTGATACTATGCAGGTTCTTGGACTAGATATACCATAAAATTCAAATCACGTGGCATTTTAGATAGTAAAAAGGTACCTTCCAGACATGAAAACAGCATCTTATTGTCCACGGCCAGCTGCTGCCATACGCTGCTTCAACCTTTTAAGTGATGGAAGAACTTCAAACGCTGGAAGTTCTGCAGCCAAGGATAGATAGTGGCTTTCATATTGGGGGGTGGGGGAGAAATGAAACAAAAAGCTATTCAAGCGATAGAAGACGGAATCACTTTTACGAATTAAACCATGATAGTGTTATTTGAGTTCATACCCAGATCATTTATGCAAACATCTTGTGATATGCCATTCCTTGATACATCTCTAGCAAAGTCAATGGATCAACTTGACTAGCTTGGTCCACTCGGAGATGCTAATATGTCACACAAGTTAACTGTCAAGACACTTTCTGAGACTAAACTAGTTTGCATGAATGTTTCAAGACTGTTGCATATTAAACCACATTACCTTATAGACTTCACCAGTTGGGCAGGCTTCTGGGGGCTTAACAAGAACCATAGGAATGTCTAAAAGCAATAGGTGAAGCCATATCTTCAACAACCTGAACAAGCCAAGGAAAAAAATGTTATACAACAATAACTAAATCAGTTCGAACTCGCAGCTAATGCTCTCAAGGGGCATTTTGTGTCGAATGAGCTTACTAATATTCATTCACTTGGAAACTGTAATAGCTGAGGAGATAACTTAATTATCCCTGTCTTTTTTTATCAACCAACTTGTTTTATCAGGCAAAAAGCAAAGGCCTACTGTCCGAACTTTGGTATCAAGATACACTCTTTAGTCTTTACCAATCAAGTATCATCACAACATGAAGTGAAGTGTGAATATCTTCAAGCCTGCATCTCAAAGAACGTGGATTCATACCTCACCACGACCAGTACAATAGGCTGCTCCATGAGAGAAGAAGAAAGGAATGTCCGAACCAATCTCTCCACACCATTCCTGGAGCTCTTCCTCGGTGGCAAGACCGCCACTGAATTGATTGGCAGCCCACAGTGCAGTTGCAGCATTGCTGCTTCCACCACCAAGTGCTGCTCCAGTTGGAACCTTTTCATCTAGGTGTTATCTGTGGAGAAATTACTGACCTTAAGCAAAATCTTAAAGTGTTACCCATTCCAATACAAGTATTAATTAATATTTTAACACTGCAAGTCCTTACCCAAAAGTATTTGTTAGTGCCTGTCTTTTTCCTAAAGAGATTAAGGGCTTTTATAATCTGCATACAAAATTTGCAACATTCAGTCACAAGACTGACATAGTGATATAGAGTACCCCAGACACATTGGTGGTCAAACGATCCGTCTTATCAGATGGGGACAACGAGAACTTAATTATATCTCCTAAACTAATCACCAGGAGGAAGAATAAAGCAGGACAAACTGTTAGTACTGGACTGAATGTGGAACTAAAACCAAGAATTAACCTCAAATCTCCAAATGTATCAAGCGACTTGAGCCTGAAGAAGAGACTACTTACACGGAAAAGAGATGCCAAATCATGATAGCCATCTGCCCGTTTGCTCGTAATTCTCAAGAAAACATTAATCTGCAAGAAACCCAGACGGGAAATCAACCCATACGAAAGTCTCATTAGAGCAAAGAAGGCAACAGTGAGAGTCGAATCAAAAATAGAAGCGGAAAGACCTTGCAAGGAGAGAACAGAGTGAGCCTGGAAAGAGGAGCTTCCTTATCTACCTATCTGCTAACTTGTTCAACCTCTCATCAGGATCATACACCACCTAATTCAAGAAAGCAACAAATCAAATCAAAATCGAAGCTCATTTCTTTTCAATCAAATGAGAAGATACAAAAAAGCGATACCTCTATTTGCTTCTTGCTGGCTTTCACAACTGGGCTCCTCTGAAATTGAAACTTTTGAGTGAAACAAACGGACCCAGATGGGGTGGAGGAGAAATTGCTTTTGCTGAAGGAATTGGAACAAGGGTAGAAGTTTGGGTTATTACAGAGCAAACTAGAGGCAGCCATGGTGATGGCGGGGTTTGGTGATGTCTTCCACAACAAAATAGTAAGCAAGCGGAAGTCCAGAGAGTTACAAGGACTTCGGGATTCGATAAATTGAAGGTAGAATCCTTAGGGAAGTGCGCAGTGGCTGCTGCTGTGAGATTTTTTTCTTCTTTTTTTCGTAATTAGGAGATTTGTTTATTATATTGGAAGAAAGAACATCTACCGCCATTTTTGAACAGCCATAAAACGACATCTTATTTCTCCAGACTGGCTCCTTCTCTGCTTTGTCCTTCCGTAGATTTTTTTTTATGGTCCTTTTTTTGAATTTTTTTCCTAAATACACACGTTCTTAAACAAAATTTTCAAAATACATACATTAAAAAATTCCAATCAATACATGTTCGAAGAAGATTGTTATTTTCAAACGAGGTGAAGATGTTGAGGGGAATTAGTTTTTTAAGTAAAATCTGACGGTGGTTAGTAACGAAGGGTTTGTATGGTATTTCTCCCCCTTTAGTTTATTTGGGATTTTTTCAATAATAAGACCTTTAAAAAAAATTATAAAAATAACACCCAGTCCATAAAATTTACAAAAATAGCACCAGGACGGTGCGTTTTATTTATAAACCGTACCTTGGAGGTGCGGTCCATTCCACGTCAGCCAACGAACCGCACCCAGATGGTGTGGTTTGTGTTTCCTCGCCTGCGGCCTTGGAGACCGTTGGATGAGGCGGCGATCCAACGGCGGACCGCACGCCATGTCAGCGATCCACACCATGAATCGAAGACCGCACCAGCCCGCTGCGTTCAGCGCCTCAAGAAACGGAAACCGCAACCTCCCGATGCGGTTTCATTGAGTGCAAAATTACAAGACCGCCCCTGGAGGGTGCGGTCTGAATAGTATAAATACCCCCCTCTCATTTCTTCACACCACAACCCATTCTTCACACCACAACCCCTCCCAAAAGCCTAAGAAATAGTGGTCTGTTGGTTGCGGCTAAGTCCGATCTGCCATCAGAAAATATTTCTTTGGTTTTTCCCTCAAAACCCGCCGAATTTTTGTCCGACTTTCGCGAAAAAATGGACGAGTGGTTCCAAGGAGAGGAAGTTTATTATGATGAATTTCAAGCGGTACGTACTCATTATTCTGGTCAATTTTTGTTGTGGTTATAAGCTTTTTAATTATTATATGTACTAACCTTGTTGCTATTCTCTCGTAGGTTGGGGACGACGTGGATATATATAACCAACGGTATTATTTGGATCAAGGACCTATTGATCCAATCGACTTGTACGACCAACCCAACCATCATTCAAGGGATGTTTGGAACGATAATGAGGTACATACAATTCTTAATCATTTGTCTTTCTTTTATTTTGCTATTGTACTTAGTGGAATATAAAATAAATTTGAAATAATTTAATCGTATTGGTTGTTTTCAATAATTTAATCGAATACATAGCGCCATTTACTTCGACTCTTTATAAAGAGATGCACGTCTAAGGAAATGGAGTTTTAAGCGATTATCATGATCCTGCCATTTCCTAGGAAAATCGGGTATTAAGAGATCCTCGGACCCCCCCCCCCCCCCTTTTTGTTAAAAAGGATGAATATTTAAAAAGATGTATCCTCTTCTAAGAGTCTAAAGAGTGTTGCATTGTATTCGATTAAATTATTTAAAACAACCAATACGATTAAATTATTTACCAAACAACCAATACGATTTATGTTTATGTGTACAAAATGAATTTTATTAATTTCGAATGTTTGAATATGTATGTATCTCTTTAAATTATCATTCATTTAGAATGTTATTTAAGTCAATTAATTGAGTATGTTTGTTTTATGATAATATGTAATTATGTATATATCTTGGAAAAAACCTTCAATTATTTAAATTTGATTGTTAATAATATAATTATAATAAAATTATGGTCAAAATTAAATCATTAATTTTAATTAATTTAGTTATAAGAAAAAAACTTACTAATATATCATAAATAACGTGGAAATTTTCGCTAGGAGGCACAACAAATACTCTGCTACAGGGGTACGACCAATGTGCTCCCATGGAACCTAGTTATCTTGCCCTTTCTCAAAAGGGCACGGTTAGAGTCGATTAGGCATTTTGTAGGCATAAAAGTCGATCGCTAACTCATCACCGCATTGGTGGAGAGATGGAGAAAGGTGACACATTGTTTCAACTTTCGCGAAGGAGAGTGCACCACACGCTAAAGGACGTCGCCATCCTAACCCATCTGCCCATCGACGGCAAAGCGGTGTGTGTGAGTGATCATCCCCTCGAGGATCGTGACGGTATGACCGGTTGGCAGCATTTCATCCACAGTGTTTTGGGGGGTGAAAGTACCAATCAAGGGGAGTGTTGATGCGACGGATCGCTTGCCACCATTGAGGAAACACCAAGTACCAATCACTTGGTTGACGAAGTATTTTAGGGACCATCACGATCCTGCCAAAAATGGGGTGCCCCTAACCAAGGAAAGTACGGAGCTAGAGAAGGAAAGATATGCTTGTGTCTATCTCATAGGCATATGATCGGAGGAGTGTTCTTCTCCAAAAAAAAAATCGACCAATTTAATTAGTTGTGGATGGCTTAGGATCCTCCTTGGTAGTTGGGATGAGATGGGGGAGTTGAGATGGGCATCCGCTTGCCTAGCTAATATCTACCACCATTTGTGCAATGCATCTCTCAAAGCTGTGAGGGAGGTCGGCGGCGCAATGTTCCTCGTCCAATTTTGGGCTTGGGAGCATCTGCCATGGATTGCACCGCTCAGAGATTATTGTCAGGTTCGTTCTCCTAGTGACGTGGAGCTAAATTTGTCGAAAAAACCATCCATAGCTATCAACATTCTCTCCCTCAACAATGGAGAAGGCTAAAGGAAAGACTTGTTTGTTTGCATCCGCCCCACTGGCAATCAGGAGAGTGCCCTTGTACTTGCCGGTAAGGAATGTACCATCCACTTAAATCACAGGGACACAGAACCCAAAACCATCAATAGATGGCTTGAATGCCCAAAAAAGTCGTCTGAAATGGCGTTTGTTATCGGGCTGTGGCGGCTGTATCTCTTCATCTTGGTATCGAGGGGAGAAAACAGTGCCAGGGTTAGACGCCTCTAATGCTAAAATCAATTCGGGGAAGGAATGCATATGATTCTTCCCAATCACCAAAGACGGCGGCCAGAGCTTTCTGCTTTCCATGCCACGCCTTCTTATAGTTAATCATATAACCATAACGACTTGCAATGTCAGCGATTATGACTTTGACCTTCAGGTCAGGATCTTGCTCTATTAGATGCTTGATAGCCACAACAACCACACTGGATTTCAACTGTCGATGGCCTTGGGATGTTATGGATGACACACACACGTGTGTGTTCACCGCACGGGATATGACCCAATGGCCATGTCTCTTGCAGTTGATGGCCCGAATCCTAACATTGCATCCCTCGTGATGATTACGGCATCTGACTATGAGCCTTTTCGTATTGGAATGAGTTGTTTGCCATTCAAAATGTCGAGTCATTGCTTCAGTATCAATGGCGTGCCGCACCTCCTTCTTCGAGCCAAATTGTTGGCCCTTCATAAACCAAGTGAGTGGACCCCATACTGGGACCTCTGGCGGCTCAATGTCGCTGTCGACACACCAATTCTCGTCTGGAATATGATTGTAGTAGGGGACTGGTACATGTTCACGAGCCACCTCATCATCATTACCTAAGTCTGATTCTGGTCCTGAATCATCAGCACCTTCAAGAGGGTCGGAGTTGTCTGCACTGACGTTGTTCTCTCCTTCTTCATCAGAGGGTTCACTAACTGGTGCTGACAGGGCATCTTCCATCTGATCTAGTTCATGAAAGGCACCTTCGTCAGCTCCATAATGGTAGTTGTGAAAACTACCGCTGCTTGATTGGAAGTTGTACTCTTGTTGGTTGGCATGGTCCGGTTGAACTTCTTCTTCATATGATGGGAAAGATTGATGATGACCTTCACCTTGCTCTTGGTACTGAAAGTAGGAATGAGGATTATGGTAACTTTGGTAGGGATGATCTCCATATAATTCACCTCCACCATGTATACCAGATGTTTGACCGTCTCCAAAATGACCTCCAACGCCTACGACCGCCTCAGTGTAAACGAACATCTCGGCTTTGGAAAGATTGTTGGACCTCAAGAATTCGAGCATCGCATCTACTTCATCCTGAGTGGTTATGAGATATTCCTCGTGCCACAACGACCCTCCTTCTCTGTTTGGATATCGGTACACCATACGATCAACTCTTCTCGTGCCATCCATGCAAGTAACGTTAGTACACATTTGATAGAGGTCTTCAAGCATCGGTCTAGTAGCGACCTTTATTTTCTAAAAATTGCCACCGACGTAGGTGACCCCCTTTCCGGTCTCTTCCGTGTAACCATTCCACCGTAACCCAAGCGTGAACTTTTGGAATGTCATCTGCAAAAAAATCGTAGTTCAGTTAATATCATAAAAATCACAAATCACAATGAAAACCGCATGGGGAGGGTGCAGTTTTCATCTGTCATGCAGCCCCACGTCTGTCAACCTGCATGGCAACATGTTTGGTGTCGGAAAAATGAGGACGACACACAAACCGCATGGGGGGGGGGGGGGGTGCGGTTTGTGTGTCGGCAAAGGCAAAACCGCATGTTGAGGGTGCGGTTTGTTTTGGAGAAACAAAACCGCATCCCCAAAGTGCGGTTTTGCTAGGTCAGACCAAGAACCGCACATAGACCATGCGGTTCTGTTAGGTCAGACCTGAAACTGCATGCCCAAGATGCGATTTTGGCCCAGAACCTTAAACCGCACCTTGGGCGTGCGGTTCACAGTCAAACCGCACCTTGGAGGTGTGGTTTTAAAAAAAGGGTGTTATTTTTGTAATTTCTATGGACTGGGTGCTATTTTTGTAATTTTTTTAAAAATGTGCTATTTCTGGAAAAATCCCAGTTTATTAGTCATTTTCTAGTAGTGATTTTAGGATTTTTGTTTAATAGCGACGGATGGTTTTAGAGGTTGATACTTGATAATAGTATTTTTTTTGGTCCATAGTGATTTTCATGTAACTAGTAGTGTTTTAACATGTTTTTAATTTGCAGTCATTGAAAATTTTAATAAGAATCACTACTACAAAAATGGTAAAATCAATAAATCACAGCTAACATGGCTAAAAAACCACTACTAAAAGATAAATAATCGCTACTACACCTTGATAAAACCACTACTATTTAATACTGCTCATCAAAACCACTATAACTTAACCAGAAAAACCAAGGAAAAAAAAATACTACTATAACTTAACAAAACCACTACTATTAAAATCGTTCAATGATTTTTAATTCCTTTCTCTCCTTGATGTCCAGGGGATTGTACCTTCTCCATGTAAAACTACCATCACCATTACTGGGACAGAGAGGGGAGGCAAAGAGGAAGAATGGCATTGAGGCGGAGTTCGGTGAGGAAGGATGGAGTTAAGGTGGAGTACGGGCGAGGGCGGGCGGCATGGGCGATGGAACCGGCGCTAGACTGCGAGCGTGGGGAGAGACAGATATGGTGGCGAGGCCAGTGATATTGGTCAGGCAGCACATCACTGGTTTCGGCGCTTGTAATCGCCGGTGAGGCAGAGAGGGGAGGAGATTTGACGCAGAGAGGGATGGAAGTTTTGTGGGTGAGATTGGGGTACGTGGGAGAGAGGGGCAGTTAAATTACTATATATATATTATATTAGGGTTTCACGCAATATTGACTATTCTATCCTCTATTTAATTCTGACCCTATGATTAATTTTTTAATCTAATGGGTATTGATTTAGTTAGTATGGTGCTAACCCGATATGGGGTTAGCAACTTAACCCATTCCTAGATGTTCACCACCTTTGTCAAACGCAATGAAGAAATCATCGTCGTTGTTAAACTCGATGAATAATTTTTGAACCATCACCGCTCTTGTCGGCAACACTGCAATAGTGAATAAGTCACTAATGTGTAACACGTTGAGGCGTCAGATAACATTGGATGGTTGCGGTGAAAGGGGTGGTGAATAAGTTGTTTTTCACGTCAGTGGTCCGCATCGCCCTGCCCTTTTAACCGCGGCCGTTGGATGCAGTGAGGCGCGGATTCTAGTTTTCCCCCAAATCCGACGCCTCACAGCATCCCACGTCAGCAATCCGTGCGCATCACCGCTATTGACGAACGCAGTTTCTTTGTTGCATTTGATGGTTGCGATGAAGTCACTGCTTCTCTCTACAGCAGTCTCCTCCTATAAATTCAACCATCTCCTCCCATTTCAACCACACCACCACACTTCACAATTCTTTCTCCCTCCCTTCCTCTACTGTAGAAATTCCAAATAAGGTTCATGGTTGCGATTAAGGCCGATCCTCCACAATATAATAAATTTCTTGAGTTATTTCCTACAACCCTCCCCTCTAAAAATCGTTGAACCTCGGTCCAGCTTCCACCAAAAAATGGACGAAGAGGCTCTTAAGGTACCTACTTGCTTTTCCTTTTGTAATTTATTTTTTTGATATTGAAATAATCTGATTTCATTCAAAAAATATATAGATGGGAGCCAAGATATACGACCCTCGATCATATATCGATCACTGGCCAAAAGATGCGAGGTGTTTAACCGAGCAAGCAACACATAGCTCTCGTACAATTTGGCACAACAATCCGGTAGGAATGTCACTGTCTAAAACTTTGATTTTCTATATTTTGCAACTTTGTATTTTGATTTCCTTTCACTAATAGTTTGCTGATTTTTTTCATTTTACGTAGGAATCACTCATTCCCATCACCCATAGAAGGACTTCACGGTTGCCTGAATAGCATAACCGACTTGGCTCGTATCTAGAGAGGACGAGTTTGGAAATGATGAGACACTTCATGCGGATTGAGATCGACAATGATTTGTTGACGACAATGTTAGAGAGGTGGCACCCTGAATTACACACCTTCCCCTTTCGTGAGGGGGAAATGACGATCACTCTCAGAGACGTTGTCATCCTCACCGGGCTGTTGATTACCTAAGAGGCCATCATCAACCACTCGAGAGTTCCCGAAGGAGGTTGGGGGCCCCTAATTAGGAAACGTTTGGGCTTCGACATGCTGAAGACAATGAAAATCGAAGGACATGGACATCCATCGTTGAATGCGGGGAAAATCTTGATCACGTGGCTTGTTTATCACATCCAACAGGAGGTTCATATCGGCGCACACCCCCGAATAACAAATGTAGTGGCATGCATGTGTCTACCTCATTGCCTTGGTTGATGGATTCATGTTTCCAAACAAGATGAATAGGTGGGTACATGCCATGTGGTTACCATTGCTGCTCGGTGACTGGGACGAGATCAGGAGAAAGAGCTAGGGGTCGGTTGTTTTAGTGGCGGTCTATCAAGAGCTGTGTATATTAGGGGTGTTCAAACGGTTTGGTTATCGTGGTAACCGTTTTAACCTGTACTATTTGGATAATTTGGTTTGGTTAATTTGGATAATTGGTTTGGTTTGGTTAAAGTTTTTAGCTTGTTTGGTTTAGGTGGTTTGGTTTGGTTTCAGACACTCCTAACCAGTCAAACCAAATTATTCAGTTAAGTAATTAGTCATATATCTAACATATATTATATACACATAATACTTTGCATAACCACTCAAGAGTTAACGTTCATCCCTTTTAGGCTCATAAAATATAAAGCTCAATATTGCTCATATAGTGTATATTTGTATATGTAAAGTCTAGACCACAACATATGGACGCCTAATTTAGATAAATTTCATACATTATGATGAATGAAAACTTGAAAGGAAGGTCATTTCCAGCCTATGATAATTGCTAAGAGACTAAGTCAATTTACACAAGCACAACAATTCATTAACCCATACCATTGTCATAATTTTTTGTTAGGTGAATACTTCTATACTAATCGTAAGATAATTGTCTTAGTTGCATGTATTTTTGTTAAGGGTTAACTATAACTACGTGTTGATTGTTATATTTTATTCATTATATAAATTGCGAATTGTTGCATTAACCGGAAAATTTTCATCGTCAATGATAATGTGATTTTATATTGGTTAATCTGGTTAACCAATTAACCAAACCAATTAAACTTTAGTTTGGTTAATTTGGTTGTTGTATTAGTTTGGACGGTTTGGTTATGATATTGTATTCCATGGTTAATGAAATTTAGTCTTATTTGGTTTGGTTATAACCATGTTAACCATTTGAACACTCCTAGTGTATATGCTCGAAGATGGGTGCAAACCAATTTGGCGTTGTTATGTTCATCCTCCAACTCTGGCCATGGGAGCATCTTGCGATGTTCGCACCTCGAGACTCGCGGGAATTCTGGGCGGAAGATGAGAAGCTACAAGCTATGGCAAATGCCCCCTATGGTGCCAAGTAAGTTTATTTTACTTTCAACCTTTTTTAATTATTTTACATTTATTTACTTTTGCATTTTTTAAGTATGCGTTATATAGCTTTAAAAATTCTCACATGTTAGAAAAATTATTACATACTTCGATTCACTTATATTGAATCATTCTCAAGTATGTATTTTATAGCCTCAAACACTTCAGAAAAATTATTACATGCTTAGATTTACTTAAATTGAATCATTCTCAAGTATATATTTTTTAGCCGCAAATGCTTTCGAAATATTATTACATGCTTAGATTTACTTAAATTGAATCATTTTGAAGTATGTATTTTATAGCCTCAAATGCTTTAGAAAAATTATTACATGCGTATTTTTACTTAAATTGAATGTATTTCCTGTGAATTTTTTTATACCTTTCAATGCTTTAAAATTTTCTTATACGCTTACATTTACTTACACGGTGGATTGGAGCAAATAAACGATCACCAACCTGAACACTCTTTATTGTATTATCGTGTTGAGTTTGATAAGCCTTGGTAGAACCAGGTAAACATTTTAACTCAATGTCTAGAGTTTTTAAAATATGTGTCGTTAGAGTGAATCACTGTTACTAATTGTACATGATTGATGAATGTAGGTGATATGAGGCCCATATCCGCAACAACTACTAAAGCTGCATCGTCTTAGACACCCCAAGGATCACATGTCATGGTTGTGCAAGGTGACCCTGATTTGTTGGCACATCGTGAAGTGGCACCTGCTGGATCGAGCCTTGAGAAATATCGATTGGAGCAACCAATTCCAGCATCCCCACCCCCAAGGAGCTTCATGGAATCGACCTTCGTCACAAAGCAAAGGACCGCAAACACCACTTTTACATCAAAATTTAGAAGGCTAGAGTTGATTGGGTGGTCCAAGGTAACCCGAAGACAAAGTCGATGGGGTACCATGATGGATACATGAAGTGGTATCAGAAGTTCACGCTCAGATGGGTTTTAAAGTCAGGTGCTGTGATGGGTTCTTTGGTAAGTGATCCCTAGTCTCTCTCTTTGTTTTTTTTTCTTTCGTGCTTTTGTGGATTTGGTAAATATTGAATGCTTATACTTTGGTACTTTGATCATGTGTATTAGGTTGACGGATTAGAGCTTTTCATGCACACCGTCGAGAGCACACCCACATGGACGAGCGCAAAACCTCTTTCATGTGGAGGCTTTTCAACAACCTACTAAGTTATACCAGGAGCAAAGGAGGGACGTCATATCATACCCTCTCCAGCCTGCACCAGCGCGTCCGTCCTTCCGTGATGAGAAGCCCATATTGCCCCATCTCGAGGCACCATGGAGGAGCAAACGAAAGGCTCAACCATACATTGCTGAGCTCCATCCGAGAGAGCAAACTAGCCTTCCTAAACTGTTTGCGTACGAGTGGCCCGCATCAACGGAGGGAGATGGAAGATCGTCGAGCAACCAATTGTCATAGCAAGGGGACATGTTCCCCCAAGGGTTCCCACAATTCCACCCTCAGCACCCAACTCCGCAAGTTCACACTCCGCAAGTTCACACTCCGCAATATCATACTTTGTAACCACAACTCATCCATTGAGCTACTTCCCCAGTTCTGGTCCATCTCAATCACCTCCACCTCCACCACCTATGGTTATTAAGGTGGCGGCTCGGGTTAAGAGGAATTCGCAAGCGGCTCGCCAAGAAGGAGTAGGCGGACATGGAGAACGACGGGGCCGAGGACGTCGTGAAGACGAGGAAGAGGAAGAGAAGGGGAACCAAATGCAGGAGACCAGTGAACTATCCATGTTGTCTTATTTAGTTTGGTCTTTTGTTTTTCATTGCCTATCCAAGTTGTCGTTATTTAGTTTGGTCTTGTGTTTTTCATTGAACTATCCATGTTGTCTTTATGTAGTTTGGTCTTGTGTTTTTCATTGAACTATCCATGTTGTCTTTATGTAGTTTGGTCTTGTGTTTTCCATTGAACTATCCATGTTCTACGTTTTAGTTTAGTATCCATGTTATCATCAAGATAGATCACAATTTCATTATAACTTAACTTAAACATCATTACAACTAAATGACCAACTTAAACATCATTACAATCAATGTTGGTCTGGATTTCTGCCCGAATCTTGCTGGGGAGGTGGACCTGGGCAATGCCTCTTGTTATGTGCAGGTTGTCTGCACTTGGAGCAACGTGTCGGACCTCACCTTGGTCGGGCTGATTGGTTCATGTCAATGTGAATCCATTCAGTCCTAGGGCGGCCCTTGGTGCTCTTTAGTGCAATGGTGGGATAATCAACTTCCTAATGTGCAGAGGTCAATAAGCTTCATCTTGCAGAGGGCTGAAACTACACGAGTAAGAGTTGATGATCACCTGACTAGTGAAGTAAGGACTCATAAGACTATAAGGGGCGATGAATAGTGATTTAGCTACTGCCATTGCACGAGAACATGACACTCTTGTGTTTTGAAACTTTTGGCATGTATACTCCCCGGTGCAGCTTTATACGTGTAGAGTTATGAATTGACGATTGTGCCCACGTCTGCCTCCACCCCATATACATGTTTCGATGGCAAAAACACCTTCACGGAGGTTGAAAAAGGAAAACGTTGTGCTTACTTGATTTTTCTTCATTCATCTTCATTTGATCAAAGACGTGACGTGCTATCACATATCCAACATGCTCCCTCCCCATGGCTTCTTGAAGTCTTTTAACAAACCACTCGATGACCCTCTAGTAGGTCATCTCCACTATGACAGAAATAGGCATTGCTCTAAGGCCATTGTACACTCCATTTCTACTTTCTCCATGGTTGGTAGTTGAAATGTTGAACCTAACCCCATTGTCCATATGGAATGTCCACATGTGGAAGTCTTGACCTTCAGCCCATACTGCCCCTACCCGGTGTTTCTGACGGATAACCTTCATCTTCTGTTCGTGTCTTTTTAATGGATGAGCAACCTCTTCAAGGTGACAAGAAAAAACTAATTAATACATGAAAAATTTCATCTGAACAATAAGTAATTAACTTGCACAAAAAATACATGAGTACCTGCATTCCACAATTCATCTCTGATGACTTTCTTCCCAAATTTGTGCTGGTAATTGGCAAGAAAGTATCGAATACACCAGAGCAATGTTCACTCTCATTCATCGGGAAAACCATACACGACGTTTCTATTTCCGGCATGTCGATCGGATATGATTGTGATGTCTTGCCGCTGTGTGACATGCTCGTGTAGTTGGTCAAAGAACCATGCCCAACTTAAGCTATTCTCCCCTTCAACTAATGCAAATGATAGGGGAAACATTTTTGTGTTTGGTATTTAAAATAATTCATTTTCAATTCTAAATTTTGAATTCTTTGGAATTGGTACTAGTTATAGCAATTCTGAGGAATTGAGAGAAAATTTCCAAATGAATTCCACAACTATTTACTAATTATAATAGAATGACATAATTATCCTCTTTATTAACTAAATTACTTATATATATGATATACCAAACACATGAATTCATTTGACAATGAATTCTACATGACAATTCATTATATTTCTAAAGATTTGAATATGACATACCAAACACAAAATTTCATTTGACAATAAATTCTACACTATAATTTATTTTACAACAAAATGAATTCTTATTCGTTTGGTACCAAAGTGTTAGGGGTCGTTTGGAAGTTGCGATTGTTAAATAGATGTATTGTTGAGAATGCATGTATATTATTACACATGTATTGTCGAATTCGATGCATTGTAGAATACAACGTTTGATATGTGTGACTGTGTATGTCGCATAAGCTAAAAGGTGAGACAAAACAATCTCAACTCAACTATCTCAACAATCACAACTAAAAGTTGAGATATAACAATCATTCAAAATAAGTGTAGTTTCTGTCACATCACAGAAACAATCCATATATTATTTCAGTTAAAAAAACAAAAAAACGATACATTGTAAACAATACATGCATAATGACAATTTCAACAAAACTATTGCAACTTCCATTCCGTCATTGCTAGCAAATAGAAATATATCCGGCACTCCGAGATTAGGGTTTTGGCTTCCCCCTATATAGCCTTTTTTCTCCACTGAACTACTTTTTCTTTCCCGATCTTTAACTCTCGTCTTCAAAGTCTTCAGCCAGTTCAGCATCCATGGCGGTCACATTCTCAAATCTCCACACCGAGGGTGGTCTTAAAGCCCTCGAATCCTTCCTCGCTGGAAAATCCTACATCTCCGGGTTAGTATTACTTCCCTCGTGTTTTATCATTGTTCCTGTGAACCTCGAATTTGTGTATATATTTGCCAACTGATTCCATTTGCTTCGTTGTTCGCCCAGAGACAAGTTTACCAAGGATGATGTGAGGGTTTATGCTGCTGTTCATGGTGTTCCCGGCGATTCCTTCCCCAATGTCTGCAAGTGGTACAACTCTGTATCTTCAAAGCTTGCTTCGAGGTGGGTAATTCGATCGATTTTCGAGTGAAAGCTCGTAAATTTTTTTTATGTTACTGTCTAGTGGCTTTCTTAAACCCTTTTGAATTGATTAGTCGGCTGATGGGTTTTGTGAATTGGGGTTTTCTAGCTTCCCTGGAAAGGCTGCTGGTGTAGGAGTTGGTGGCGCCGCCGCCCCTGCTAAAGAGGTACGTTTTGGTTCAATTCTAACTGCGGATTAGTTGGCATGTTCTCTTATAGTGTTAATTTACTGCCGTTCCTTCAGTCCTATTTGTTTTTCCGATCCAATGGTCACTGATGTGTTAGTCTTGTTATACTTAAGATCATATTAGACTAGAAGGAACTCCGATTACTCATTTTTGGGTAGTTAGCTGACCAGACTACGGCGTTGTTAGGTGGTTATGGCTTCATCGATGAAGCGCTATCAAACACAGATCATATTTGGAATTGAGAGCAAATAAATGCTCTACTCTCTGGTTTAGTTTGCTGGAATTTTGTTAATGTTGGTAGTTTGATTGAACCTAACTCTTGGCCATCCATCTAAAGGCTGCTCCTGCTGCTGCTGGAGATGATGATGACGACTTGGATCTTTTTGGCGATGAGACCGAAGAGGACAAGAAGGCAGCGGAGGAGAGAGAGAAGGCCAAGTCTTCTACCAAGAAGAAAGAAAGTAAGCTTTATCTATATGTTAGTAGGAATGTCATTCAGCTTTACTTTTGGTGGCTTGTGTTTAAGCATCTGTGATAATCTGAAACGTTGTAATGGTTACTGTAGGTGGGAAGTCATCTGTTCTGTTGGATGTGAAACCTTGGGATGATGAGACAGACATGAAGAAGTTGGAGGAGGCAGTGAGGAGCATCGAGATGCCTGGTCTCTTCTGGGGAGCATGTACGTTTTGCATTATTCAAATATATGTTGTTTACATTTTTTTATATTTATTCTTATGCATTGTCCGAAGTTGTAATCTTGTGTATGATGAGTTCCTTGCAGCAAAATTGGTTGCCGTTGGTTACGGAATCAAGAAGCTCCAGATCATGATGACCATTGTGGATGACGATGTCTCTGTGGATACACTTATTGACGAGTACCTCACAGTTGAGCCCCGCAATGAATACATCCAGAGCTGCGACATTGTTGCCTTCAACAAAATCTAAGTCAACTCTTTATTTTCCTATACCTCCATTCTGACTAGTGCTATCTGTTATTTTTTTTTTTTTCTGCATTGTGGCCTTTTCCCCTTTTAGTGATATTAGGGAGAAGAATACGTAGATGGAATGGCCGTTGAATATGTGCCCTTGTTCGCTTTGTGAAAGGTCAATGAAAACGTTTAATCCAATTTTGGTTGCTTATGATGTTGGGACTCTGACAGACGTCGGTACTCTGATATCATGATTGCAAAACACCATGAGTGAGGTTTTTGAATGCACCAGCATATGAGCAATTGCACTGAGAAAATAACCAGAAGCAAGTGCTGGATGGTTGTTGCTTGAGCAAGACCTATACCAGAATGTAGCGAGAAATGCTTCTCCAGGAACGACAGGTCATTAAATTATTTACTCTCTTTGCTCTTCCTTTTTGTAATTTATTATTATCTGAGCCTGAATTCGTCTACAGACGTCATTACCGTGCCCATTGACTAGAATGAATGATATATTATTATTTATAAAATTGTCATTGGTTTCATTCACTGGGACCTAATTGTTGTTCTATTTCTTTTCTTCTACCATTTTCCTCTCATCTCTTCCCTCGTATTGTCGGTCTCTCCTACGTCCTACCTTGGCCTTCTCATTTGTATTTTCTTCATTTTTTATTCATTAGGAGATGGATACTATATTCATTAAAAAAAGAGATGGATCCTATTAGAGGTGGCAATTGGCAATTGGATCGGATTCGTGGATTGGATTGGTGGATCCATGGATCAAATGGATTGGATCCAATGGATTGGTGGATTGATCCATGAATCCAAATGACATCCAAGGCTTGGACCAAAATGTAAATTTTGAAAAGTTTAGGTACTAAAATGTCATAATAAAAAATTTTAGGTACCAAAATGTAATTTTCCAATGATATTTTTCGTATAAAAATATAAATTTTAGGTACCAAAATGCAAAATATAAAAATATAGGTACCAAATTGTAATTTGCCATTTGGATCCATGGATTGATCTATGAATCCACCAATCCAATTGGATTTTGATTAAATGGATTGGATTTAAATGGATTGAATTAAGTGGATAATTTGGTGGATGGATTGGATTGGATTTATGGATTTGGATCCTAATTGCCACCTCTAGATCCTATGCATGCAAAATATAGTATTTTCCCCAACTTAACCTATATTTATAAAATTGATTCTCAAGATACACTAGTTTTATAAATTATTCTCAAAATATATATGTTTGAACTAGATTGCTTGAGACTCAAATGATTTGCATGTGAGTTGTGTTGGGGGTATTATGAGCAAAGCCCAATGGGCGACAATTTGGACTTCCAAACAGCCCAATTGGGGGGCAAGGCTCAAGCAAAATGGAGGGCACATAAAGACAAATCACTAAAAGTCAAAGGAGGCCAGACTGTCATGTGGTCCAGCGTCTGCGGGCGCCTGTCACGTGCCAGGAGTCTGACAAGGTGGTTGGGATATCTGACCAGAAAGGGACAAAGCATTAAATGGAGACAGGGAAGTAGAGAGGATCAACCTCGAACTCTGGTGAGTATAAATAGGGGCAGTTGGTAGCATTTACACAGGTTGGACTCTCTCACACTAAACTCTAGCTTTGAGACACTTCTCTCTTCCAAGAAACTAACTTGGGCGTCGGAGGATTAACGGGCCCAGGCGCCCCCTCCATGTTCGTGTGTGCAGATCGGCGCCCTGCGAGAGTGGATTTCAGAGAGTCATACAGGGGTAACGTGCCACAAACAATTGGCGCGCCAGGAAGGGGAGTTTAGCCAACAGTCACGAGTGAAGAGGCGCCGATGAACGAAGAAAGGGAAGAAATTACAGAGGAACAATCGGAGCAAAAGAGAGGGCAGACGCCCGAGATGGAAGAAGGTGAGGAAAGTGATGGCGTGTTTCGGGGATCCGAGGGCGCCTCGGTCACGAAAAAAAAATTGTTCCAGATCATCGAAGATCAGGACGAGGCAATCGAGGCGCTGTGGCGGGGTGGACGCCTTGAAGAGGAGTGAAGGAATGACGCCCAGCCCGACGAAAAAAAGGGAAAGGATGGAGGAAACGGAGAGCGAACCAGGGTGTCTGAGGCGCCCAAGTCTATGGCGCCAACTTGATCATGGGGTGCCGGACGCTAGTGGGTGGAACAGAGGAATTTTGGGCGCCTATCACGCCACTGCCCCGTGATGCAGCCTCTGGCACGTTGCATACTGTCGGAGCCCGCAGGAACAAACATTCCCCCGCTCCCCGCCTATGACGGAACTGGAGACCCCGAGGACTAGCTTAATGGATATTTCACCAAAATGCAACTCTATAACAGCACAGACGCCACCCTGTGCAAGGTATTTCCGTCCACCTTTTCAGGCGTGGTCCTAGATTGGTATCATCAGATCGACGAAGGCGCATCGATTGCTTCGAACAGTTCGCAGCGATGTTCTTAGCGAAATTTGTCAGCAGGAAAAGGCGCTCCTTGACCATAGGCGCCCTGTTTAAGGTCAGGCAGAAGGAGGGAGAGGCGTTAAGGGAGTTTTACGAGAGGTGGCTATCCGTTGCCTTAGCGGTGAAGGACGCCCAGCCGTCGGTGCTGGGAGTGTGCCTAAATGAGTGCACCTCCAGTGAGGAGCTATGCAGGGTGCTCGCAAAGAGGGACGTGGTGTCCACAGAGGACTTGGATCACAGAGTGCAAAAGGTAATTTTGCTGGAGGAGACGCTAGCGGCCAAGAGGGCAGATCGGAGAAAGTCAAGAGCGGAGGAAGCTGATGTGCCAAGGAGGCTGTACCCCCCGAGTGGTTCGGGCTATGCGCCTGCAAGCCAACCCCCACCAAGGAGAAGTGATATGGGGCGCCAGGCGCCTAGGGGGGCAGGGCACTTCGCAGAGTACAACGACACTCTGAAGAACGTGCTCCAGCACGTTAAGGAGAAGGGATACCACATCAGGTGGCCAGGCCCCATGAGGGGACAACCCAATGAGCGAAACTTGGACCGATACTGTGATTTCCACCGTGAAATTGGACACTATACGACCGATTGTTATTAGTTGAAAACAGAGCTGCAGGGTCTGGCAGACAGAGGAATGCTTAATGACTTCATTAAGAAGACTGAAGAAAGAGTACATCGGGCATGTGTGGCTGGAGTGGTGAAGACAGGGGAGGAGCTGCCACCCCCACCCTACGACCTGGATCAAGAAAAGGCGCCTGAGCGCGTGCGCCTGACCATCGAAGCCATTTCAGGGACAATGGATTTGAGAGAGAAGATAGAGGCAAATCGCCGATTGAGGGCAGCGTCGGCGGATGTGCAGGAGTCGATCGACATTAGCTTCAACAAGGCGCCGGAAGAAGCGTGTATGCTCCCGTCCATGGACGCCTTGGAGATACAAGGGGTAGTAGCCGGATGCAGAGTGAGGAGAATGCTGGTCGACACGGGGAGCTCCATGGATGTGCTGTTCAAGGATACGGTGGTTCGCATGCAACTATCACCAGAGATGATCAGACCATCTGAGTCTGTGTTGGTAGGCTTTTCGGGGGCGCCCGCCAGAGTGATAGGGCGGGTGTGCCTGCCTGTCACCTTGGGAGATGGGGAGCAAAGGGTGACGCGCGCCATAGACTTCGGGATAGTGGATTGCCCATCGCCGTACAGTGCGATCCTTGGAAGGCCCCTCTTAGCCTTATTCAACGGGGTGGCCTCCACTTGTCACCAGACCTTAAAGTTCATCGCCCCGCAAGGGGTGGGCGTGGCCCGAGGGCGAGGCGCCCCGCGTTACGCAAAGGAAACTGGGCGCAAGCGAAGGCACGTCGAAGCAAGAGTCAATGTGATAGAAGTTGTGGGAGACGAGGCATCGCGAGCTGAGGCTGCCGACGAGGAACTTCTGATAGCACTGGAGGAAGGGCGCCCAGAAAGATGCGTCAGGATCTCGGCAGAGGCGCCTGCCGAAATGATGGAACAACTCATCACGCTCCCAAGGGAATTCGCTGAGCTGTTCGCGTGGAGTGCATTAGAAATGCAGGGCGTCGGACCTGAAACGGCCGTTCACAGGTTAGCGGTCGAGGAAGGCAGACGCCCCGTGCAACAAAAGCGCAGGAACCTGTCGCCAGAAAAGGAGGCGGCGCTCAGGGTCGAGGTGGACAAGCTTATGGGCGCTAACTTGGTCGAAGAAACTTCTTATGTTACTTGGTTGTCGAATGTGGTCTTTGTGCCAAAGCCGTCGGGCGACTGGAGGATGTGTGTGGATTACACAAGCCTCAACAGGGCATGCCCGACGGACGCCTACCCAATGCCCCGGATAGACTTACTGGTGGACTCCACGGCATACCACGAGATGCTGAGCTTCGTTGACATGTTTTTTGGATATCATCAAATCCCCCTGGCAGAGGAAGACCAGCCCAAAACAGCTTTCATGACACCTTTTGGAAACTTCTGCTATCGGGTCATGGCCTTCGGGCTCAAGAATGCGGGCGCCATGTATCAAAGGATGGTCAACAGCGTCTTCCGGCAGCAAATCTGCCGAAATGTGGAGGCTTACGTGGACGACCTCATAGTCAAAAGCCGGAAACGGGAAGTCCACATTGAAGACTTGCGAGAGACGTTCCAGGCCATGAGGGCGAGGTGGACAAGCTTATGGGCGCTAACTTGGTCGAAGAAACTTCTTATGTTACTTGGTTGTCGAATGTGGTCTTTGTGCCAAAGCCGTCTGGCGACTGGAGGATGTGTGTGGATTACACAAGCCTCAACAGGGCATGCCCGACGGACGCCTACCCAATGCCCCGGATAGACTTACTGGTGGACTCCACGGCTTACCACGAGATGCTGAGCTTCGTGGACATGTTTTCTAGATATCATCAAATCCCCCTGGCAGAGGAAGACCAGCCCAAAACAGCTTTCATGACACCTTTTGGAAACTTCTGCTATCGGGTCATGGCCTTCGGGCTCAAGAATGCGGGCGCCACGTATCAAAGGATGGTCAACAGCGTCTTCCGGCAGCAAATCTGCCGAAATGTGGAGGCTTACGTGGACGACCTCATAGTCAAAAGCCGGATACGGGAAGTCCACATTGAAGACTTGCGAGAGACGTTCCAGGCCATGAGGGCGCATAGGCTTCGTCTAAACCCCCTCAAATGTGTATTCGGCGCCGAAGCGGGAAAATTTCTAGGATTCATGATCACCAAAAGGGGTATAGAAGCTTACCCAAAGCAGGTAGATGCTATTCTCAAATTGTCCTCCCCGAGGACGCCCAAAGAGGTGCAAGGCCTCGCGGGCAGGCTGGGAGTATTAGGGCGCTTCATCTAGGGCTGGGAAAATAGACCAGACCGTTAGAAAAACTGTGGTCCAAACCGTACCGCACAGTTTGGTCTGGATCGTAGACCGTTAAGTATGGTCTGGTCTGGTCCATGGTCTGTATTATTTTATATTTTGATCTGTTGGTCTGGTCTGGTCTAGACCGCGGTTTACCGGACCAAACCGTGGGCGTAATTGACATTCGACCACTCTCCCAACTCCGAC